CAAAACTCCTTACCACCATTACTTGTTTCTAGACCCAAGGTTCTCAACCTGTAAGCTTTAGTAATTCTTACCATTTTGGGTTTCTTTCATGAAGATATTTATCTTGGATTTGCAACTGCCTAGACTTGTTTTTCTTCTTTTGTTTTGATCCATTGTGGCTGAGGGGGATTTTGAAGGGTGAGCGAATTCCTTCTACCTTCTGTCTCCAGTTATTATTTTTTTTTAGCAGTTTTTACAGGAGATAATGGCGTCATTATTTCTTCCATCAGCACTAATGTAAAGAGCCAAAATGTGAGTATAAATTGTTTCCTAGCTGTATGACCTTAGGCAAGTTGCTTAATTTCACTAGGCTTCAGTTTCATCACCTGCAAGATGGAGATTTTAATAGAAGCCACCTAAGGGCATTGCTGTAAAGATTAAATGAGATTTATAAAACCCCCATAAAACCTGAAGGCACTTAGAACACTGCCTGGCAAGTATAAGTACTCACTAAATATTAGCTGTTATTATCAGCATTGGGAAAAATTAAGGTTATCTTATGATTATTTTATTCAACCCTGTGCCATAGATATTATCATCGTTAATGTAAGGTAAGAAATTGAGGTACCCAAGGGTCAAATAGCAAAAACTGTGGCAGTGAGATGAAACTTGGGCACATCTAGATTGGCTTGTGGCTTTGTCATACACGGAATAATTAGTGTATGTTTCTTGGTCTAATATGGGTTCTGGGTGAGGTAAGCATTTGGCTTTGTTGACGTCAGCTATTATAATATTAAGCATGACAGATGTGAAAAATTCAGACATTGTGTACTGAATCATACGTCATTTAAGGTTCATTACACTTTAACTTTAGTTGCTCCCATCAGCAAAGTCTTATCTCTACAGGCAATGAATGTTTATAGTGGTCATTAATGTATCATACGAAAGAGGTCAGTCTCTCACGAAACTCCCTTCCATTTTTACAACAGAGCAGATTCAGGTCAGGAAAGATAGGCCCCTGACTTACATAAGATCAACTCACGTTTATTATTCAGTCAATAAATACTTGTCAAGTATCTGTTGTGTTGAAGGCCCTGAGCAAGGCACTGTTTAGGAAATACACTGAAATATCAGACATACTTTCTACCTTCGTAATTTCCGTTAACGACACTGTGAAGTTTTCAACGTTCTATCAGTTATCAGTTACTGTAAATTCTTCCTTTACAATGTTTCTTTCATGTCCCTTTCTTCACAAATTTTTCCACCATTGCTCTGGTTTGGTCTTTTTTCTCATTTCCAGACTGGTTTCTGCCTTCCTACATCCCTTCATCCATTCTATACATGAACTGATTAATCTTTCTAAAACACTACTTTGACAATGTCATCCCTCTACACTTAGCTTTCAGTAGTTTCTCTCTATCAAGATAAATCTGAACTCCTTGGTTTGGCATTCAAGGCCTTCACAATTTGGCCCCAGGAGATTCTCTCACATTTCGGCTCAAAGACACAACCTCTGAGATGCTTTCTGGGAGATGGGTTCCATGAACAAATGCTGATACGTGTTCTGCAACAATGCAGCCTACTTGACTTGTTTTAATCTAGCGTTTCCCCATCTTTCTTTTCTTCATAACACTCCTTGTAGTTTGGAAGATAAAAGTCTTTCCCTAATTTGGTTGTTCACTATATATACAGGTTCACAAATTATTGCCGCACAAGGCAGAATGTGGAAAGTGGAGTTGAAAAGACCTCATGCTCGAGTGACCAGTAAAGACCTTGACAGTTTACACTGCTAATGTATAATTACATTATAACTAAAAAATGAGTACTGGTAATTCATGACCACAAATGAGCCAGGAGAACCATGAGCTCACATTAGAAACCTTTAACAAAGCAAACAAAAGCTGTTTACGAAAGAACTCCCCAGAAAAAAATGTATTTGTTGTGGTAAAATATACACAACATAAAATTAATTATTTTAACCATTTATAAGTGTGCAATTCAGCAGCATTAGATACATTCACAATAGTGTGTAACTGTCACCAGTATCTTACCCAAACTTTCCCATCACCCCCAATCACCCAGGAATTGTTAAACTTCTGTGCATACTAAGCTGAGATGTTTCCTCCAGTCTCAGTGTCCCATGACCCTCATCTCCAGATAGACTTAGTCAAACCATCCATAGAGCCCTTATGACACTTATCATACCATTTTCATTGTGAGTTATCCATTTAGATGTCTCTCTGCCCTTTATTATGTGTTGTTTCTCTTCCTCACTGCTAAACACAGGACCTAATGCAAGGGAAGCCCCCAGGAAAACATTGCTTAACGGGCACCGGCTGCCTCTGCTGGAGGGAGAAATGCAACCATGGCTTACGGGCTCACTCTCTTCTACACCTCTGCTACTCTTTCCTTTTCCTTTTTCTTTATGCTGTTTCAAGCATAATAAAGGGGAGAAGATGATTTCAAATTTCAGGCCTCCACTTCCACCATTCTAGTGGATGATGGGCTTACTTGACCATTAGGATTCTTTCCTGATTTAACACTTTCGGATGGATCTCAAAACTGGAAACAACCCAAAGGCCCATCAATAGTAGGATGGACAAACTGCAGTATATTCATACAATGAAATCTTACACAGAGGTTAAAATGAATAAACCTTTACTACATGAAAATATGTGGACAAATCTCATATAAATAATGTTGAGTAAAAGAAGCCAGGCTCAAAAGAGTAACTACTTCATTTGTATACACTTTAAAAAGAGACAAAACTCATGCATAATGATAGAAGGCAGAAGAGTGGTTACCTTTGGAAAGGGCAGTGACTAGGGTGGAGCATAAGGGAGGCTTCTGGGGTATTGATAATAAATCAGCTGTGTTCACTTTATAAATATACATCAAGCTGTTTACTTAGATTTTCTACTTGTTCTGCATGTATGTTATACTTCCATTTAAAAGTTTACTTAAACCAAAGACTTTATGGATATGTGAAATTTAGCTGGGTGAGCTCTCAACATTTAAACTTGCAGCCTGTTTGTGGGGACGAGTGTCACATCGTCTGCCCCGCTTTCTTACTCAGCAGGTTAGCTGTGAGCACCTAATCAAATGTAGTTTTTTCCCTGCCGTGCTTATTTTTCAGAGCTTGACTACCTCTGTGAACTTTATAACCAAATAAATTATTTCTTAATTGATCTCTTGTCTGCTATTTAAAGCAAATCACATGAACCAAGGTGGTCTGGCTCCAGCAGCTGGGCTCTTAACACACCTACCACCTCGTCACACACACAAGAACACATGCACCTACATGCACACCTACACACACCTATGCACACACCTACACACACATACACGCATTAGGCTGTCTCTTTCTGTATTAATACCATCTTCTCTTCTCTTCTCCATATCTATAAAAGACTTTAACAACTGGTTTCTGGCGTATCTCTTCTCTCCAAGATGGTTGCTACCTTGGCAAAGTCTGTTTATTTCGGGGATCAGCTCATCCCCCTAGCTTCTGTGCTCTTTGATCTTCTCAAGTTCACCTCCAGGGGAGTCAGAATTCTAAAGATCCCCTCCTCCCCCAGCCTCCAAGATTCCAGTTCATCCACTGGTGATTTAACCAAACATGAATCTAGGTACTGGTCTGAGGAATTTTGAAGTTGTAATTAAAGTCCCAAGTCAGTTGACTCTAAAATAGAGAGATTATCAAGGTGGGCCTAATTTAATCACACAAACCCTTTAAAAGGCAGAAGAGGAAGTCTGAGAGATTTGAAGTGTGAGGAGGATTCAACCTGCTTTGAAGATGAAGTGAATCACATGAGAAGGAATGTGAGCAGCCTGGTAACTGGCTGATAATCAGCGAGGAGACAAGGACCTCAGTCCTAAAGCTGCAAGGAAGTGGATTCTGCCAACAACCTGACCTAAGAAGCAGATTCTTCAGATAAGAGCCTCCAGATAAGAGCCCAGCTGGCTGACACTTTGATTTATTCCTGTGATACCCTGAGCAGAACCTAGCTTCACCTGCCTAGATTCCTGACCTCCAGAACTGTGCCCTTTAGACAGAATAAACAAGCGTTATTTGAAGATGTGAAACTGATGCTAATTTGTCACTTAGCAATAAAAGACAAATACGCCTCCCTTCCGCTTACATCATCCTGCTGTCATGTTCAAACCATGGCCCCTGTCAAAACCTGGAATGCCAATATCAAATGCCAGTTTCCTATTCAGTGACCTCATCCTCCTGTTTCAGCTCTTTGGCCTCCAAGTGACCCTTCTGTAGGTTCCTTTCCACCTGTCTCTTCCTGGCTTCACTTTCCTGTGATGGATCACTTCACCCACTCGACTCCTCACTCCATTTTTCTACTGCCTTACCCACCCAGCAAAACCACATCCTAGAATTTATTCAACCTTCTAATCTTTTCTATCTTTACTTTGTGAATGGGAAAGCCGTGCACATTTATGGCTTTGATGCCACTACATTTTTTTTAAAGATTTTATTTTTCCTTTTTCTCCCAAAGCCCCCCCGTACAAAATTGTGTATTGTTTTTAGTTGTGGGTCCTTCTAGTTGTGGGATGTGGGATGCCGCCTCAGCATGGTTTGATGAGCGGTGCCATGTCCACGCCCAGGATTCAAAAGGGTGAAACCCTGGGCTGCTGAAGCAGAGAGCAAGAACTCAACTACTCGGCCACAGGGCCGGCCCCTGCCACTACATTTATAGAATCCAATCTTAGGAGTTCTTGGTGTTGCTGTGCAATCTTTAGTGTTGGGAGGAAAAACTTTCCCTCTACCGATTTAGTCCAGTGGGGTAGAGGAAGAGCTGAAACTTCACCAACAACAGACAGGTGAAAAGGGAAAAGGTGAGGTATGGAGTTTATGTGCAACTTAATGGGGGGAAGGGGGTAGGGCACAGAGAAAGGGCTTCTATGGGAAAACAAAGGGCTTTTAGGAAAGACAGATAGACTTTTAGGAAAACATATAGGAGAATGACAGTTGGTGGTAACGTTTGTTTACGTGATTTTTTATCCAGGTGTCAGTGGTAGTCTTCTTCCTGGCAGTGAAGATGCCCTGAGAGGGGATTTATGGCAGCTTCACTCTCTGAAGGCTCTGTCTTTAGTCAGATAAGGTAAGGTCCATTAAGGCTTCTTTCTGCATTAGCTGTTTCTCAAACGTCTTCAGTTTAAAGTACTCTTTATACCAACTTTGTGGGTCTGGGTGGATCCCTATATCAGCATCCTTTTTGTTTCCTTGGAGTTTGTAGTAAGCAGAATAATGGCCTCCCAAAGATGTCTGTGTCCTAATACCCAGAATGTGAATATAAGTTACCTGGCAGAGGAGAATTAAGGTTGTTGATGAAATTAGGGTTGCTAATCAGATGACTTTAAAATAGGGAGATTATCCTGTTTATCCTGTAGGTCTAATGTAATCACAGAGGTCCTTAAAAGTAGAATAGGGAGGCAGAAGAGGAGAGTCAGAGAAAGAGATGTGATGACAGAAGCAGGGTCAGAGATGCTCTGTTGTTGGCTTGGAAACTGGAGGAATGGGGCCAAAAACCAAGGAATGCAAGCAGCCTCTAGAACCTGGAAAACGTTCCAGAAAGGAACCAAGACCTGCTGACGTCTTTGACTTTATCCCAGTGAGGCCCATGTTGGACTTTTGATCTACAGAAATGTAAGATAATAAATTCTTGTTGTTTTAAACCACTAAGTTTGTGGTAATTTGTTACTGCAGCCATAGGAGACAAATACTGTGCAGGCCTATTTCAGTATCCATCCTGTCCTCAGGTCATCTGTAGTCTCACTCACACCCTTACCCTCAGTGGATCCACCAGCTTCAGAGAGAAAGTGCGGTTATGGGCCAGACATTCTTTTAATTTTCTTTCTTTTCCCTAACCAAAATATTTAAGTATGTGAAGATGCATCCTGACTCCCTTCCCTTCTGCCACAACTTTTTGAAGAAGTTTCCTTCTCTAGTGCTAATTCCTCTGGATTCTATTTCCCTTCTGCTTCCCAGGAACTTGAATATTCCAGTTAACCACCTTTTCTTCTTTATGGCTTGTCCTCTTGGCATGGACACATATTCTGGCCTTTCTAATGTAAACCAAATAAGAAATGTTTTCTCTGAACCCCAAGACAGCCTTTAGGTATACTCATTTCTCTCACCTTCCTTTTAGAGTAAAAGCTTAGCGACGAGTTCTCTATACAGACAGTCCCCAACTTAGGATGGTTCCATTTAGGATTTTTCAATTTTATGATGGTGCAAAAGCAATACATATTTAGTAGAAAGCCTACTTCGAATTTTGATCTTTTCCCGGGCTGGTGATATGCCCTACCATCCTCTCTAGTGATGCCAGGCGTTGGCAACGAGCCACAGCTCCCAGTCAGCCACGCGATCACTAGGGTGAACAACAGATACCCTCACAACTCTTCTGTGCTTATACAACCATGCTGTTTTTCAGTACAGTATTCAATAAATTACATGAGATATTCAACACTTCATTATAAATAGACTTTGTGTTAGATGATTTTGCCCCACTGTGGGCTGAAGTAAGTGTTCTGAGCACGTTTCAGGTAGGCTAGGCTAAGCGATGATGCTCGGCAGGTTAGAGGTATTAAATGCATTTTCGACATGATATTTTCAATTTACAGTGGGTTTATTGGGACATAACCCCATCGTAAGTTGAGGGAGATGGTACTCTATTTCCATTCCTTCACATAGTCGTCAGTGCTCAAGCCATTATTGACTGACCTTCCTCTCACCAAACTCATCAAAGCTCCTGGTAGCTGTGAGAAGAGCCATGGGGGAACATGGTGCATACAGCCTCTTGCTCTGTTTTTTTGTTTTTTGAGGAAGATTAACCCTGAGCTAACTACCGCCAGTCCTCCTCTTTTTTTTGCTGAGGAAGCCTGGCCCTGAGCTAACATCTGTGCCCATCTTCCTCCACTTTATATGTGCAATGCCTACCACAGCATGGCGTGCCAAGTGGTGCCATGTCCACACCTGGGATCTGAACCGGCGAACCCGGGGCCGCTGAGAAGCGGAACGTGCGCACTTAACTGCTGCGCCACTGGGCCGGCCCCTTGCTCTGTTTTTTATTTGCTTTAACTTGGAGTGGTGGTGAAAATAAATATACTTGGACCCAATGCCGATGTTATATACATAACCCAAATGCCCCAAGACCTGTCATAAGGCCTGCCCAAAATGTAGACTTGCCAGAGGAAAACTGATCCTAGAAAGTCCAACCACTTGGAGTAGGCACCAAGGAGTGTACTGAGTCTTCATCAGCTCCTTACGCTGGTGGCCAGGCAGGCAAACAGACTGAGAGCCCAGGGCAGCTTGGAGAAACTAAGAGGATATTAAAAATCCTATGAGAAGGATGAAGAGAGCTTCTTCTAGGTCCGTATGGGAGCTTTGACAATAGGGCTCCTGATTCATGGAGTTACATGCCCAGGAAGTTTGTTCCTTTAATGAGAAGACTGTTTTTGGTTTTGCTCTGGTTGCCACTCTGTAGAATAAGCCGTATTCTTTATTGACAGTAAACAAGTTTGTTTCTTTTGCCTGTGTCTGTTGAGAACATTCCACTATTTCCCTCGTGAAAACCATAGAAGTAAGCCCCTCACTGATGTAATTGCTGGAAAAGGGTATTATTCTCGCCACTCCCCCGAAAAATCTCCCAGTTATTTTTGGAGTTTTCAAAAGCAATGCTCAAGGGATTTCATGAATGAGTCTGTCTGCTCCCTTCCTCTGTCTTCATTTTCCCTATTAGTCTGTTTACATCCATGCACACTGCCTACAAAAGTACATGGTGAGACCTCCCCCCGCCAGCACTCATTTAAGACCTCTAACATGTGTGTCAAGGATGTGGACTCCAGCTGGCCCCAAAGCTTTCAATTAGGATTGTAAAGAAACCCTAATTTTGATAATTCTGTGGCTTGGTTGCAAATCACATAAAACGTGACAGTGACTTCAACCAGCATAGGGATAGTCCGGCAGAGCAGCGATATCATCAGAGATCCAGGTTCTTTCTGTTTACTTGTTCTGTCATCAAAGGAATTAACAGAAAGAAAAGAGAAAAAAGACTTTATATAGAAAATTTATAAATAAACTACAAGTGATCATTAAACATTAAAAAAAGTTTACTTTCACTCACTAAGTCAAAGAAATATAAATTAAAACACTGATATGCCATTTGTCAGCTATCAAATTTAGAAAGATTAAAATTATTATTCTATCCAGTATTTGTGAGAATTTAGGGGAACAAGCAACCTTTTCAATTGTTGGGACTCTGTGAATTTGGCACAAACTTTCTGTGGGAAGTTGGGCTATACGTATTAAAAATTTTAAAGCAAGCATACCTTTTGCCATAGTAATTCTCCGTATGGAATTTATCTGAGTGTGTGCGATAACAGGGCTACGAGGATGTTTTGTGAATAACAGGAAGTTTGGTAAATTAATTATGGCACATAAACAATTGAATACCATGCAGCCATTAAATATAAAGTTGTAGAAAGATATTGAAAGACAGAGAAGCATGTTTGCAATATAGCAGTTTACAATATAACAATAGCTACCGCCTACTGAGTGCTAACCAGTGATAATGACTCTGGGTTTTCTATACATCATTGCATTAATCTACCTTGACAGATTGTTTCCCCCGATTACCAATAACGATCTAAAGACTAAGCAACAAGTTCAAGTTGAGGGTTTGGGAAAGCCAGGATTCAGACACAGACTGACTTCAGAAATGATGCCTTTCATCCCTGTACTTTGTATATGTCCATTTTTGTTTTGTGAGAAAATAGGTAAGCATAGAAAAAGCCTAGAAGCAGATGGTATGTGGCTGATGGGTTATAGGCGATTTTTAGTTTCTTCTTGCTTGAAATGTACTAATGAGAGAGAAAAAATAGTTCAAATGGAAAAGAAAAAGTGCCAGATTGAGAACACATTCAGCGGAAGTCCCAATACTGGCCTCTATATACGCTGGGTGGTTAATCTTTCTAGGTGAAATAACAGAGCAGTCATGAGGCGGAGGGCAGAGGGCAACGTCTGGGGTGCTGCGAGTCATGCACTTATCGACCTGACTTTTGACCTTGTGCAAGTTGAGCTCCTTTGGACTGGATGACTCATCCACAAAGTTAGGAAGTTAGCTTTAGGGTCTTCTCGCTCTAATGTTCTGTGACCTAAAATGCCCAAACACTAAAAGGGAAAATAGGGCATTCGAAAATAATTAGCCTCAAAACTTATAACTTAAAATGACTCATTTCTTTACAATGCAATACATTTATGAAATGGTGGGTTTAATCTGAATTTGTCAAACAATTTGATGGCAGTAATCAGCTTGAGAAAGTATTAGGGTGAAGTCAGGAACTGATATAACTTTAGCTAGCAAATAAACTGACATCAAAATGAAAAAATCACGAACTAAAATATTTTAAAAATTAGACTAAAAACAAGACAGAAACATTTTTGTTGTTTGTTTTAGTAGTTTTAGCCCTATTTTGGGCGAGGATATGACTCTAAGTATTGTCACGAGTCTTTAATTTTACTGAACAAAAACAAACACTGACATTTTATCAATTTATTTTACTTTGAAACAAAATTCATTTTCTAATATAAATGTATATCTGCATTAAATCAAATTTAGAAAATTACACTTAAATAAAAGGAAAAAAGAATCATAATGTTACTATCCAGAAAACTAACATTTCCTTGTATTGCCAGCTATTTATTTATTTATTTTGAGGAAGATTAGCCCTGAGCTAACATCTGCCACCAATCCTCCTCTTTTTGCTGAGGAAGCCTGGCCCTGAGCTAACATCCGTGCCCATCTTCCTCTACTTTATATGTGGGACGCCTACCACAGCATGGCTTGCCAGGCGGTGCCATGTCCACACCTGGGATCCCCACCTGGGATCTGAACTGGCGAACTCCAGGCCGCCAAAGCAGATCATGGGCAGTTAATGGTTGTGCCACCAGGCCGGCCCTTGCCAGCTATTTTGTGACGTACAGCTTTTTGGTTTGTTATTGTTTTATGTAATTGCAGAATGCTATACTCAATGTCTTGTTATTTTTTCATGTGCTTTTTATCAATTTCGTGTGTGTTTTCTCCATTTTTAAAAGTCCCCT